GAAACTTGGAGTGTGTGATTTGTATATCAAGCGGCGTAAACTCCCCGCTTGGGTGTTTGCGAGATTGGAGTGGGGCCACACTTTGGATAGCTGCCTGCTGCCATTACCTCAGGATTAGGTGAGTTTGAGAGGAGGCCTCTCTCCTCCGCCCCCAGGACAAGATAATGATGGTTTCTAAAGGGAACAGAGATGTGTCAAACTTATCCCAGGAAACACCAGAAAAGGTTTATATAGTATATAGTGGAAATGGCTTCCAGGTGCTCCCATAATGTAGCGGGACACTGACAGTTTTGTCCCCCCCCCACCATTCTGACCTCTTCTTCACTGGACGCACTGGAAGCAGCCGATGCTCACAGTAAGATATCTCCACCATGAGGCAACTCATCTGTTGTACTGACCCAAGAGGAACGCATCCACGCTTTTGTTTTCACCACAGTGTTCTATTTGATGCTCAGCTGTACAGTTACACCAGCTTTACTTTTATTTAAGAGCTCAGCAGCCCATCACAGTCCTCCTGCACTGGCTCCCAATTTACAAAGTAGCACAAGGCCTTGACCTGCAACGTGGATGATCTACCCAACTTTCGAGCCTAATAGTTTAACTTCAACTCTGTCATTCAAAGCCTCCACTCCACTTAAAAATCCCTTTTGCATATTGCTGCTTGAATGTGTGACCTTCACTGTTGCAGAATGGGGAGTTTGATGCTAGAATGCTGATTTCACCGTTAGCGGTCGGTGGAGTTATGTTTCTCTGTGCTGAACCTGAGATCTGAGCGTTCGCACCAGCATGACTTTGTGCAACTAGTTTGGAGGACAACATAATAAAAATAACATCTGAAATCACACATTGATATTCAAAGCAGTATGTTTATGTGAAGGCAGGTATTTTACTGTATTATTCATGTAGATACCTACCTGTACTTTGTTGTTGTCATGCAGGAATCATTCTTCTTTCGTGCATTAAGAAAACAAAATTGGTGAAATTCTCAAGTTCTTTTTTACTTCTGTGGTTTTTTGGACAGAACAGCCAGTACAGATTTTTCTGTTGAGCTTCACGTCCTGTGCGCATCTTTTTTTGATTTATTTTTTGTCTCTATACCCTTCCATAAAACTTCATGCCATCCCATCCTGGCTGCCTCCATCCCCTTCTCAATCACTCCTGGTTTGTCATGACCCCGGAGACGAGAGACGACGAGGAGGAGGAGGAGGAGGAGAATCAGGGAGGACGCTCCATCACATCACAGCTCCATCGATTCGGCTCATCGCTTGTTTGTTTTTTTTAAGTTAACGCAGCTTTTATGCCGTGTTTAATTACATGTAGGACCCGCGCGGGAGCGGCGCGCCACCCGTGCCAAGTCTGGGTTTGTTTTCCGAGTCGGTGCAGCCACATAGAAGACGTCCCTCTTGGTTTTTTAAAACAGCACTGCACAGCTAATAGTCCTCCCAGCGATTGCATGCATGCACAAACCCCTTGAAAGCATTTAAGCTCTTAATTCATTAGACTGTGTTGGAATGAAGCCCTGATTAAAGAGCCCATACATCAGCAGTCACTCAGTGGAGGCACATTGATGAACACACGGAGTCCTGAACAGTTTGACTTCCTCCTCCTCTCAGCCTCTCTCTCTCTCTGTCTCTCTGTCTCTCTCTCGCTCTCTCTCTCTCTCTGTCTCTCTCTTTCTCTCTCTCTCTCCCTCTCTCCCTCCTTTCACCCGGCTCCCCCCGGAGGCTCAACGGCGCCACTGCAGCCTCTGCCAAAAACACCTGCGTAGCAGTAGTCACTGCATTGTGATCAGGACTGTTGGAGGCAGTTTATCGACTCCGGGGTGAGAGCTGTTTTGTTGTGAGCGGTGCTGAAGGGGGGGACAGATCTGCACGGCGGAGGAGAGGAAGAGATACTTCATCAATAAGGATAACATCAGCTGAGAGACCGGACTTCTGCTGATTGATGCTTTCTGCAGAAAGACAGAAAGGGTGGGCAAGTGGAGAGTGTGTGTGTTTCCTTGTGTATGAGTAGCTGTTAAATGTGTATCGATTGTCTGTGCGCGTTGTCTCATCCAGCACGCATGATATCAGTCGCCTCAGTCATCACAGCTGGAGTTTGGCGTTGAAGCTGATGTTTTGCCTCTGTTGTAGACTGGGATTGAGGGAGAGAGAGAGAGGGAGAGGAGAGAGAAAACGAAAGAGAGAGAGAGAGAGAGAGAGAGAGAGAGAGAGGTTAACGGGTGCAGGAGGCTGATGACAGACTGAAACTCCGAGCACCACTGAGGAGTCGTGAAGAGAGCGGATCAGTGAGTCGCCGCTTCATGGGAAAAGGATGCTTTTGATGTCTGTGCTTTGTCAGAAAGCTGAGGAAGAAGAGATGACCAGAGAGTGAGTGAGTGAGTGAGTGATGGGGGCGGGGCGACAAGAGGTCCCAGGTCAGGTTCAAACCCAGGACATCGCACTTACACTTGCATGCTCCGAAGAGATTATTAATCACAGGAGCTCTATTGACTCTTTTTCTTGCAATGTTTCAAGTTCAGAAAAACATCCAGATCTAGAAGTTGGTGGCTTAAAGGCAGATTTTTTCAGATTAACCAACAACAATAGAGAAGAAATGTGAATCAATAGAGCAGACTGAGGTTTTTACAGCAATAAAGCAACCAGAAAGGCTTCAAAGAGCTCAGCTGTCAGAAAGTCTGGTAAACAGGGTTTAAAAGTTGTGAACTTTAACATTCTGTGATGGGACTCTTAAAGGTCACTTGTCAGAACATGGTCGAGTAAGTCTTTGTTGGATGTCTCCGAGGTTTGTTAAACACCTTCAGATGCCCGTGTGATCCTTTTTAGATTCTTTACGGAGGCTTTGTTCCATTCAATGAGACGAGTGTTTGCAGACAGACGGAGTGTTTGCTCAAAGCGGGATTTTAAAGTGGCCTCAGAGTACCTTCCTGTGATTGTCATTCTGTGTGAAGCTAGCTTTGTTTTGCCGCGGTCAGCGCCGCAATAAAGCAAACATTTTGACCTCCGGGCTAGACAGCACAGAGAGCGGTGAGCCCTGGAGATGTGTGTCTATCGGAGTCAGATCCCTCCAGGAGCTGCAGCAGATGCACAGGCAGCTGGCTGTTTTAGCCACAAATTAGCCCAGATTGAATTCATCCGTCAGGGTATCTGGCCCGCTCCCCGCCTCCTCTGGAGGAAGTGATCGAAAGGCCTCTCTGACTTTTCCCAGAGACGTGAAGTGCCCTTCCATCAAAACCCATCTTGTTCTCCAGTCTGTCTTCAAGCCTTGGTGGATTAGCCCGCAGCCTGATATGTGACTGTAGCTGTCAGCAGGAGGAGCAGCACATACACTCTTAATTCCTCCCCACATTCTCCATCCTCCTGCCCTTCCGTTTGTTCCCCCCCCCGATGGGATGCGGTTTGCATTTGCAGTGTGTGTGTGTTTTCCTGTGTGTGTGTGTGTGTGTGTGTGTGTGTGTGTGTGTGTGTGACCGAGCCCCTCGCGTGTGTGTGTTTATTTGTATGCATGTGCATTTTTTAGGGGTTCTTTTTTTTTCTCGACTTTACGACTTCTCATCACGGAGAAAGTGGCCGAGGGAAACCACAACAGATGCAAAGTTCTGAGAGGCGCCGTCTTTCAAAAGGAGCTCTTCCAAGAAAGAGAAAAAGAGCGGGAGAGGAAGGCTCGTATAATTACGGGGCGGCGTGAGGTAAACGAGGGGAAAACGGGATCATTTCATCGTGACAAACACGTTTCATGAGGGGGATCCCTCGGGAAATGGCAACCATTGGAAGTGCTGAGGAGCCTGTTGTAGTTATAGAGACTTCATCTGCAGACAGACGTTAGAGTCCCACCACACAGTTTGACTGACAGGAAGTACAGTATAATACATCTGAATTAATTCTTCTTTTTAACACCCCCCACACTCGATGGAAGATCTCACATTTCTGAGGGGATTTTCACCGTTCAAAGCTCTTCACGCCTGTGCTACTTTTTCTTATTTTTCTTATCCGGGGATAACAAGAAAAGTTTCCAGAAGCAGCGGAGCAGCAGTTAGTGTCTTTTTATGGGCTGGTGCAGCTTTTCGTTTGTTCCCAGAATCTCAATTCAGGCCTAGCAGGAAGAAAGATGTTCCTCCACAGCCGTCTGAACCGGCTCCCCTTTCGAGTTCTCCTCATTTCCCGGGTCTGGTTCTCAGTGAGAGAGGTCTGGAAGGAAGGCGATTAGAGGGAAAAAACTTCAAACTTTTAGGGTATATAAAGCTACTTTGGGGTGCTTGAGCTCTGTAACCAGGACGGAGGACGGCCCTTCAACCTTCAAAGCAGCTGCTTCGACCCTCAAGGTCACTTTTGGAAAATTGAAACATCCGCACACAAGTAGATGCCGGGGTCCACGGGGCCAAAATGTGGTTCACGTCTTTCGGAGCCCGGTGAAACCGCAGCAGCTGTCGAGATCAGTCTGTCGACCGGCCCGGACAAAGCGCCGCTTATCGGCCGGCTCACGGGCTCTGATGACAGACGAAGCGGCTGCTAAGAGGTTTCGGTGACAATACAAAAGATTATCCGACATCTTCCGGTTTTAGAGGCACACCTCGGGGAAAGAGAATCCACCTGTTACAGCACACGTCTTCATTAAGACTTCATCATATAAAAACGTAATTTGTTCGATTCGTCGTTGTTTTCCAATCTGTTTTCGGGTTCTTCAAAGTTTAAAAAGACGACATTGTGTATTTGCCAGTGCAGGCTGTCACATTAACACCCATCTCATCTATGTTAATGTTTACGACTGTAGACTTAAGGGGCAAAGCCAGAAACTGGCCTTTCCTTCCCCTACACCGTCCAACGTAAACTATGTTCAGAGAAAATTCATGTGAGCTCACTCTTTGCCAATTGTAAAACCTTTAAAACGTTGTCACACACACACACACTACTCCTCTCTGTCTCCCCCCCCCCCCCCCCCCCCCCCCACACACACACACACACACATAGAGAAAGATTGACAGGACTGTTGTGTCTTTGCAGATTTACACGGACTGGGCCAACCACTACCTGGCCAAGTCTGGCTGTCAGCGCCTCATCAAGGACCTGAGCCAGGACGTCACCGATGGAGTCCTGCTGGCACAGATCATCCAGATCATAGGTAGGCATCCGCTCTCACACACACACACACACGCTTGTGTCTTTCCTCTGTTATCTGCTGCTGTGTCTTGTACTCTATCATCCGTCTCTCTCATCTTCCTTCTACAGCTTTCTCTTTCTCTTTCTGCTCAAGTGATTAAGCTCACATCTAAGGTTAATTCAATTGCAATAAGTATTACTGTTATTACATAATTACCGTGACAGAACGTCTATTTCAGTGCTTAAAAATAATATCAATAGAGCAAAGATGAATAAATCTGTGTTATCAGCAGTAATAAAACACTGCGTGTGCCTATAATTCATTCTGTCTGGTAGATGAAGCCACCCACACACACACACACACACACACTCTATGTTTGGTCTTTGTTGTTGTGAGTTGCAGGGAAGCAGTTCCTCAGTCTGATATTTGGGCCAAATTTCAGCAGCTCTCTCTTGTTTTTGGGTGGCAGGGTGAGCTGCAGCAGCACAGATCTATGGGCTCTCTGACACCCTGGGGTGCAGTAGGCATGTGTCTCCCATTGTGCCCCGGAGAGAGTTTACCCCTCTGTCTCTCTGTAGCTCCCCCTTTTTTGTGTCTCTGCGTCTCCCTCTCTGGCGCTCCGCTTCTCTTCATCTCCGTCTCTCCGTCTCACTTTTTCTCGGTCTCTCTCTCTCTCTCTCTCTCTCTCTCTCTCTTTGTCCCCTCGTTCCTCCCTGTGATCTCACGTTCTCTTTTTCTCCTCCCGACTTGCTCTTACCAGTGTTGGGCCGTAACACATTTGGTCTGACTGACGCATTACAGTAATGTGCGTTCCCTTTTTTGAGCAAAGACCAGTGTGAGGGATTACAATTAAAATGTGGCGATGGCATTGCAGTCACTCATCTCCGTAACCCTGTTTCTTTGATCGCTTTTTCTGACCGTCTCATCAGGAGTGTGATGGATGGGGGTAGATTGATGGTGTTGTGCTTGCGTGGGGACACGTTAGCATGGTGCGTGGGAGGAGACTATCACGAACGCCAGAAGAGAAACATGTGTCACCTTCAAGACGGTCCTCTCCTCTTCACGGTTCCCATCGAACCGACGGTCAATGTTGGTTTCATTAGTCTATGGTTACAATATCTCCCTGTTGAAGAAGATTTATTATACGCACATCACGTAGAACGGCATCATGAGGAAATAAGTACACACCACTTTGACCTGACGAAGATCCAAGTAGGATTGAAAAGGAGGCACTAAAACTGTAGCACTGAGTAGCATGCAGGCGTTATTTCCTCAACCATATATAACTAATCAAACCCTTAATCAACAGTTTGTAACAGTCGTATACATTGTGGTCAGCACGCCAGGTCAGACAACGGTCATGTGGTCTATTAACGGTTGCCACCACTGACTTCCTGTTGAACCCGCCATTAATCACAGCGGGACAAATAATGAGTGATTTTGAAGCAACTCTCTCAGCGCCGGCTCTCACACATTCTTTTTCTTCTACTTCTTACGTCCACTGTCTTTGCTCTCTCTCTCTCTCTCTCTCTCTCTCTCTCTCTCCCTCTCTCTTTCTTTTTCTTTGTGTCTTTGTTACTGAGCCTCTCTCTTCATGGGACTCCTTGTGTTTATCACACTCCAACACTCACAAACACATTTCCCTCTCTATTTCATATGCTGCCTTTCTCACAGATGCCGTCTGCCTCCCTAAATCTCTCTTTTTTTTTTAACCCGTCTTCCTTTCTCTCCAACTTCTCTCTCACTCTCTCTACCACTCTTTCTCCCTCCCTCTTTCTCTCTCTCTCTCTTTCTCCCTCTTTCTCTCTCTCCCTCCCTCTCTCTCTCCCTCTCTCTTTCTCTCTCTCTCCCTCTCCCTCTCTCTCTCTCGCTCTCTCCGTTGGATTGAAACTTTACCCTCCCTGCTCGCCCCCAACAGACAATGAGGCCAAGCTGGCCTGTCAGTAATTCTCTTGCGGCAGCTGACGAATTAGGCAGCTTTGCTTCCCAGACCTTTTCCTGCGTCGCTCTACACCTCAACACACACACACACACACACACACACACTCACACACACACACTCTCTCTCCTTTGCTAACCTCAGCAGAGGTTTCCTGCTGGACTTGTGCACCTGAGCTCAAAAGTCACTGGACGTCGCGATGTTAAAGCTCGGTAAATGGGAGGACAGTAAACATCTCGTTTCTTCATTCCTTCTGTCCCGCAGCAAATGAGAAGGTGGAGGATATCAATGGCAGCCCCAGGAGCCAGTCGCAAATGGTGAGTGGTACAACTTTTATATTCCACTTTATCTATCTTTAACACCCTGAGAATTATCTTTAAGAGGAACATCTGAGGCTACTTTATACTTTCAGAGGGATATATTGTGCTTTTTACTCCACTACACTTGTTTGACAGCTGTTGAGACTGCTCAGATTCAGATAATAGAATACACAAGATGAGCTTCTAAAACACTATGCATTGTTTAACCAGTGAACCCCGACCTTTTTGGCTTGTGTCTCCTCAGAAAGCAACGTCTTCTTCATGATATTTCAGATGTATACGTTGTTGGCAGTTCCACCAAAGAGACATTTGTACCCTAGACTTCTCAGATGGTTTCTTTTGAATTTGAGGCCCAAAGATGTCAAATTATTTGACATTTCACAAAAAAAGCAAAAGATGATGGACTTTAGATTCATCCTGCGGCTCTTTGGAGGGGGCCGGCCCCTAGGTTGAGAACCACTGGGCAAAGATACCTAATCATATAAAGTAGTTCATATCAGCTCCACCTCGAGCAGCTACATCGTGAGAATGCCATTAATGCTTCAGTATTAACAATCCAGTAACGTAGCACACATGAATATAATATTTTCCAGCAAGCTGAGTACTTCTGTATGAGTTTGAGTGCATGTAAGTCTATTTATTTTTTTCCTTTCTGTATCGGTACTTTTCCTCAAGTAAAGTATCTGAATACTCTGAATACTGAATACAAAGTCACGTTTCTCCCAAAGACAAACTTGCCACTTGTTGCTCTGCGTCTTGATTTCACTCCATGATTCCAAGTGGCCAAGCGTAACCGCTCAGGTCACAAACCGACATCATCTTTATTATTCAGAGGGATGGCGTTGACTGCAGTAACCGCATGGCCACTTAACCTGAAGAAATTCCGACACACTCGACTACAATAATCTGTGTGATCTGGCTGAGCGATGCTGGCGGTGTCCCCCCACCCCACCCTCTCTGTTTTTAACGAGATGACTGGCTGCCTAACCGCTGATTGTCGTCACTGGGAGATGATTGCCCCTCACTTTAACTAGAGTTGACTAAGTGTTTATGCAGCGCTGGTTTTGCCCTGGCATCGGCCCTCCTTCCATTAAAAGTGACTAAGGCTGTTTAGCTGCTGCGGGCGAGGAGTGCTGTGTGTCGGTCCTTGTGCCTCTTTCATTAAAGCTGTGTAGGTATATGCAGAGCTCACTGTGCAGCACTCTCTGCACCATATATTGTGTCCTAATGTGTGAGAGCATTTCCGGTAGTTAGTAGAGAAGTCTGTAGAATCCTGAGCACGTCACACGTCCATCGCAGTTCTTCCTGTGGCTGCAATGGAGGCACTAGGTTAGAAAAACAACATTAAAGAAGCAGGAAGGACGGAAATGTCAAGGTCATGTAATGTGAGTCCTGGTGACCAACGTCAGCGTGTGAGCGTAATGTGTCCAAAGCAGCTCTGGAAATATAAACTCTCGAGCATTTATTTATTTATTTGTTGTCACATGAAATGATTCTGGTCCGGACTGACGCACCGGTAGCTAAGGACGACTTCTGACTTCTGTGTGTGTGTGTGTGTGTGTGTGTGTGTGTGTGTGTGTGTGTGTGT